GCTTTCGATATATCTAAGGTCTCAGGCAAGGCTGAGGTGGTTATCCGTATTTAAGGTTGAGTTTGTGGGGGAATTTCTTTTGTCCGAAACACAGTCAAATGCTTTCGATATATCTAACGCCACAGGCATAGCTGAGGTGGTAAGCCGTATGATGGTAGTTTCTGGAGAAGTCCTTGTTGCCAAACACAGTCAAATGCTTTCCATTTATCATTCTAACGCCACAGGCATAGCTGAGGTGATAAGTCGTATGATGGTGCGGTTTGCGGAAAAGTCCTTGGTGCGAAACACAGTCAAATGCTTTCGATATATCTAACGTCACAGGCAAAGCTGAGGTGGTAAGCCGTATGATGGTAGTTTGTGGAAAAATCCTTGGTGCTAAACACACTCAAATGATTTCGATATATCTAACGACAGAGGCATAGCTGAGGACGCGGAGGTAGTAAGTCGTATGATTTTATTTTCTGGAGAGTTCCTTGGTGCCAAACACAGTGAAATGCTTTCCATTTATCATTTCAACCCCACAGCACAGGCATAGCTGAGTTGTTAAGCCGTATGATGGTAGTTTGTGGAGAAGTCCTTGGTATGCCAAACACAGTCAAATGCTTTAGATATATCTAACGCTCAATGTTGATGAATTTCTCCATCACTCCGGAAATAACTGATAACAGTGCGATAAGCCTGTATAGTTGCTGTGCAGATTTTTCTTCCTGTTTTTGAGGACTGGTTGGACTCGACCTGTTTTCCTAAGGTGTCTCAGCGAACCTACCGACCTCATGTTTTTCTTTACTTAGTTGAAATCAGATCTACGATTGTCGATGGTGGTTGGAAGGTGATTGGAAAATGACCCTAGTCACCCTTGCCTGGTATCGCCGCACAGTCCTCGACCGTCATTTGTCATGGGAAGACGACCAGACGATCAGGTGAGTCGTCATCTCGTCGGTCTTCTCGTCCCGCCATCAATTCCCAATTAGAGGAGAACAGGAAATGCTCGCATCGGCCGATAAATAATTCATGTATACCGAGTTAATTGGAAAATAAGAGGTGGATGATGAATGCGTCGACGTGCACGCACCGGACAAATCCTTCGACGGCTTTTGCTATCCGGAGCGGAGTTACCTTCGCGGACACAGAATATCGGGATACGAGAGAAGGTAACTCTTGAAACTACATGGTGCTAATTCCAAAATAACGTTCGTATACTCCGGTATGTGATTCTACAAATAAAATAAGAAAACATGTTCTTATCAACGTGTCCGGAAATATTTCTAAGGGCGCTACAGCCCTTTGAAGGTAGGTCCTCAAATACAGTTTTCTTCAATTATTCTTGTTATTATTAAATACTGTCTGTAGGTTAATCGAGGAGGTGGTACATTCATTATTTCAGATTTTTTGGGATCTTCTCTCCTCGTTTCTATAAAATAAAAATATGAATACTATTTCAATCGATTTCAATATACGTGTAGTGAGGACAAATCAGATGATTTGCTCCAAAATGTCACTGCGTTTAAAGAATTTTCCTATCAGAGAGCCTAAAAGGAAACTTCACTAGCTTGTCAGTGACAATTTGTAATGAAAGCGGTTTGGAGAAGAGGAATATTGAAATATAGTATTCATATTTTTATTTTATAGAAACGAGGAGAGAATCCCCAAAAAAACTGGAATAATGATTGTTATTACTGTTCCTAGAATGACGAAATTTGGTGAATTCTGGTTATTCGATCTAACAAATCGTTTCCTGGTACTCGAGACATGATATAATATACAGGAAGGTGCGAAACCAATGCTTCAAATATGCCGTACTTGTTTTCACCATTCATCTCGATTTCAGTTTTTCAGAATATGATTCTTCAAACACTTTTACATAAAGAAGATATTCTTATTAGAATGTCGTAAAATGAACCGTTTTCGAGAAAAAGGTATGTAAGTAATTTTTCATTTCGATATCCGAAAATATTCACAATGACTCTAGACCTTTTCAAAAGATCGGCAAACTCTAGATTTTTTTAATTGTTTCTCGGGAAACTAATTCATAAACTTCTTGATAGCTTCTCATGATCAATAGGGTGTGATTTGTTTGCTCAATAATCAAAAAGGCAGTTTGAATAAATACTTAGGAAGATTTACTATGAACAACATGTAGATTTGACAACGTTGTAAATGGTATTTTTAGATCAGACTTGCTGAAAACTTCCTTATAAATTAATTTTTATTGTCATATCGCCACGACGACAAGTCGAGGGCTCTATAGGAAAAACTGTAAACCTGGAAACGTTGCAAATATTATTTTTAGATCCGGCACAACTGATTACCCCCGTATACCAAATTTCATAATTTTATGTCAAGCCGTTGCTGAAATATTCGGCCGTTCCAGTTCTTTTGGGAAACCCTGTATATAAAAATAATGTTTTTCGCACCAATGAACGATTTGTAAGATCGAAATACTCTTAGATATAAAATTTCGTGATTCTAAAATCAATAATAACAAAAATAATTGAAGGAAACTGCATTTCAGGACCCACTTTAGAAGGGCAGTGGCGTCCTATTCGACTGTTCCTTTCAAAATCGTGGTGTATTGGTATTGTTTTTGATTTTATTCCACGATGTTTTTCAGGGTGAGTTATCCTTTTATCTGTTGGATATTCTGTATTGCCAATTTCTTCTTCATTCTTGGTGCTGCTGATTCTAAACCAACGATCTAACTGTATTTCTATGTCGTGCATGTAGATCCGACCTCTAAGAACACGTGAGCATGATTGTTTTCTGCATTTCTTCTTGTGAGATGGTCTCAACTTGAAATTTTTCTTATTTCGTGCTTACAAAAAAAAATATGGGGATCATTAGAAACAAGATGATTTGCCTTGTTCCAAATAATATAGCCATCAAACGTTGGCACTGTTCACTTTTAGGTAAGTACTAAATCAAATTCCCATACCACGAGACTTTATTGATCTCACGGAAGTAACTATAATCGTCATTCCATTAGCGGTTAACTTAATTAAAAACGTCTAATCATACCTATAGCTATTAGTATTTTTTGCCTATAAGGATCAATCATAACTGTACAAAGACTGAAATTCGTTCATAGCGTGAATAGTATTTTTTTTTATTTGATTACGGTTGGTCAGAGAACGCAATCAATTTGATTCTTTTTAATATTTAAGGAACTTGCTCATCAGAAATGTTTACAATTCTTCATGAAATTTCGATTAGATGCCTCAATTTTCAGTTTTCTAGTTACGCCACAGCAGTGATTCAACTTTTCAAGTATTGATTAATTCAGAAAATATTGAGAAAAATATCAATATACAGGGGGGTCCCCTAACACCGCTTTCAAACTGAAGAAGAATGTAGCTCAAAGGGTATATACCCTACTTGACATGAAATAATCCCCCTTATAAAAGTCTTGAAGTTTCCAAGAATTTTTTCTTCATCAAAAAACGACTACTTCGAAAACTTCTAATAAAAACAGTTCTCACAGCCTGGCATTGGGTTGACATAATTTTTTGGTTACAAAATGACGTATGAGCTAGATAGCCTATAATGATGCCAAAAGGTGACAGTCATACAAGACGTCATATTTATACGTCAAAACGACCTCTCGGAATAACCGAGGAAGAAATAACAAAAATTCTCAAATATATGCATATTGGTAATAATGATTCTTGTATAATTATTGTTCAAAGGCTGTGTGGTTTTACTTCAACATCGAGTATAGATATTCTATATGTAGGTATTATACGTATTTAATTTATCTTTATCGGAAATATGCATAAGGAAGGAATTACTTCAATTTACTGCCTACTTGTACCAGTATTGGGAGAAATCATTTCCTGAAACTGGCAAAAAAAAAGTAATAAAAATTCTACACCCATTCCTCATGCATATTGTTTGGTTTGAGTCAACTTTCACTCTCACTGTATATGGTTGTTGCCGATTGTCGAGCTCTTGAATTATCTTCTGAATTAGTCTACAGACTAATTTTCCATCTCAGAAACTTTCACGCTGTTATATTTATCTCATTTCGTCCTTTTTTATGTATCTAGAAGATAAATATTGAACGACCGTTTGTCAACAATGTCGCTTTCGTTTTCTATTGTTCTTTGTTGACACCTCGGTTGACACTTCATAAAATATCGATGCCTACTCACATATTATTAAGTTGATAATGCACCTATTGGATTACGCAATAAAACAAGTTTTCATTTCGCTCTACCGCTTAACTCATTTTTTTTATATTAAATTAATATATCAAAATAAATTTAAAAAAAGGGTCAGACATTTTGTGCGATTTGTTGGCAGCATTCATATACCTACTGTCAAACAATTCAAATGTTTTTGATCTGGTACGATAATTTTGAAAGTAACGCCGGCGATCATACGTCGGATCTAAGTGAATCCCTTCTTCCCCGTTTTCAAATATTGTTACATTCCTACTTCATCTACTCCACTCTTCAATGGTCATGTGTTATCTTTAATATATTTTAATCAGTTATTTTATGTTCAGTTGCAATACACTGTATACCTATAGTTGGGTAAGTTGAGAAATATATGTTCAAGTGTTATTTCATTCTTAAAATGAGATATCACCTTCAATCAATGAACTCTTCAATACGAAAATCTTTTAGGAACACACCCTGTATAGGTAAATAGCTATGATTATATTCTTACCTGCGGTATGGATATATCCGGTAAAAGCAGCATCTCATTGGTATCGACGAAGAGATTATCAACTTTCCCAAAGACGCAGAATTTGTTCATCGAGCCTTCCAAGTCTTTATATACATTATACCTATATTATAATAACCGCGGGGGCACTATTCAATAATTGATTTCAATTATGGGGATATAATGAACATATTATAAGTACTTTCAATAATAGTAAGTCTGATGATTACCAGCCAGGTCACAATTGAATTCATTGGCAAAACAAGAGACCATAAAGAATATGGATAAAGATGAAGAAGAAGAAGAATAAAATAAATATGTACATAACCTCAATCTCAACCTCAACACAGCAGTGAAACCCGAGGTGAAACCCTTGTGGAATCAAAGATTTTGCAGAATGAATAAAACTGGATTCAATAAAATACTCGAAAATACTATACTTATTCCGAGACTTATTCAGAAAGATAGTGAAAGGGTGAGAGCTGAAATCCGAAATTAAACAGTGGTGAAGGACGTTATGGTTTTAGCAACAAACTAACTTTAACAAACATAAACTTCTTGAGTGTTGAAAGTGTTAAAAACCAATGAAATGAAAAATCAGAAAATCAAAAGGTATGTTCATTTTTATGGGTACATATTTTAACATAAAGCCATTGCATGTCCCAAAATTTTAATTTTATCACTAGTTAGTGCTTGTGATTTGGCTATCTTCGAATATCTTTGAGTTCATAAGACATGGTTTAGGAACACACAAGTAGTCTACAAAACAGATTAATCAGATTATTATTTTATAAAAATTGCAAAATTGTAGCAACAATGAACTTTTTCACCTTCGATTTCATGGTTGTTAACCACGAGAAATGATTCTCTTTTAATTTTGTCTAGAAAACATTGTAATAATTCATGTTGGTTAATGTTTTTTATTTCTCGTTAAATTTTTGTCAATATAGGAAACTTTTTAACATGTAATATTTGAACTAAATAGAGGTATCTGACAAACAACACAGAAAAACAGATTTACGGGTAAGTAGTTCATTGATGAATATCTCAATATTTCATTCACTTTGTTGAAACTTGGAACTGTATTCAGTTGTATACGAGTTGTATAGGTGCATGGTGACTCCATTGTTGATCCTTTTAAAGGCCATTTTTTGATAGTATGTCAGTTCCGAAATACCTCGTGAAGAAATGGTTACATGTAATATTTTCTCATTTTATTCATGCACATAAAAATAGAATATGACCAAAAAATGTATTGCTTGCCATTGTTGGAAATGTGAAGTCATCAAGAAAATTCGATTGTAATTTGGGTGCAGGTGGGTAGACCTAGCTGGACACTCAAACATATCCAAAATATCCGCACTCTACTCCATTTTTCATAACAGACACATCAAAAATCGACAAGAATAGGCCTATATAAACCACGATAACTGTCAAATGAACATTCATGCACAGAAAAATAGAATATTTCTAAAAAATGTATCTCTTGCCTTTGTTGGAAATGTAGATCACCAAGACAATTGGATTCTAATCTGGGTATAGAGGTGGGTGGACATAGCTGGAAACTCAAAAAAATCCATCCAAATTATCCCCACTCAGGATCGTATTGGACACATTTCGTAATAATGTAACTTTTTTAACTATCAGTTTTCAAAAAAAAGTTATTTGAAAAACACGCGCCAAAATCATTCATGAGTACAGAAAAATAGAATATGACTAAAAAATGTATTCTTTGCCTTTGTTGGAAATGTGAGGTCACCAATAAAACTCCATTCTAATCAGAGTATAGGTATAGGTGGACCTAGCTGGAAACTCAAAAATATCCAAAATATCCCCACTCTAGATAGAAGCTTCACCTTCTTCTAGTCCATTTTCCAACACACTCATAAAAAATACGACTATATAAACCACGATAACTGTCAAACGAACACGCGCCAAAATAATTCATGAGTACAGAAAAATAGAATATGACTAAAAAATGTTTTCTTTGCCTTCGTTGGAAATGTGAGGTCACCAAAAAAATGTCATTCTAAAAATGTCCAAAATATCCCTACTCTAGATAGAAGCTTCACCTTCTTCTAGTCCATTATTTCCAACACACTCATCAAAAATACGCCTATATAAACCACGATAACTGTCAAACGAACACGCGCCAAAATCATTCATACACAGAAAAATAGAATATGACTAAAAAATGTATTCTTTGCCTTTGTTGGAAATGTGAGGTCACCAATAGAATTCCATTCTAATCAGAGTATAGGTATAGGTGGACCTAGCTGGAAACTCAAAAATATCCAAAATATCCCCACTCTAGATAGAAGCTTCACCTTCTTCTAGTCCATTTTCCAACACACTCATAAAAAATACGACTATATAAACCACGATAACTGTCAAACGAACACGCGCCAAAATCATTCATGAGTACAGAAAAATAGAATATGACTAAAAATTGTATTCTTTGTCTTTGTTGGAAATGTGAGGTCACCAAAAAAATGTCATTCTAAAAATGTCCAAAATATCCCTACTCTAGATAGAAACTTCACCTTCTTCTAGTCCATTATTTCCAACACACACATCATCATAAATACGCCTATATAAACCACGATAACTGTCACACGAACACGCGCCAAAATCATTCATGAATAAAGAAAAATAGAATATGGCTAGAAAATGTGTTCTTTGCCTTTGTTGGTAATGTGAGGTCAATAAAATTTCATTCTAATCTGAGTATAGGTATATAAAGGTGGACCTAGCTGGAAACTCAAAAATATCCAAAATATCCCCACTCTAGATAGAAGCTTCACCTTCTTCTAGACCAATTTCCAACACACTCATCAAAAATACGACTATATATAAACCACGATAACTGTCAAACGAACACGCGCCAAAATCGATCAATAATAAATAACACCTCGCGTCAATTTTAATCGATCTGATAAACGAGAAAAAACAAAAGAACACGTCCGATCTTCGACGGTCGAAGAGATGTCGAAACTGAGAGACAGCCACAACGGTACTTTTCACTGAGAAATGAGGTTGGCGAACAGCGGATTCTCCAATCTTCATTCTTCAGGAAAAGAAGAGAGAGGACGTCTAGGCAACAGGTGGGAGGGAAAATTCACGTGGTAATGACGATGATTGCCGTGCGCGAATAGCGTTGAAGAAAAAATCTCGGAAATTGTACAACACAGACACAGAATTCGAGTATCAATTTTTCTATGGGTTGCGTGCAAGAACTGTCAGATGACCGACCCTGAAGGGGTGACCCAGCGAGCACAAAAACATCTCAGAGATGTTAAAAGTACGAGATTTCGAGACATTGAACCTCCACTGCGATGTTCTGTTCACACATGAATAGAACTATTATAGAACAGACAATGTCCGCCGCAGGCGGCAATTATCGAGATGTCCTTGATATGTCACAAAACTACCTTCTCCCTAGTTCGTTTTGAAGCCTTTTCATGGACCCAACAGAACATTTTCAACGCGTCTTGCGCTCATTGAATCACTGCAAAAAAAAACATTTTCGAGGTACTTTTCTGAAGCCTTTTGTCAAAATGAACTTTTGCATTAGGATTCCATTTCCCTTGAATGAAAAAATGCATTAAAAATAGATTGAACATGAAAATATTTTCTTGATATGAAATTACCTTCTTAATCGGTTTCTGAGTAGTGCTTACTACACACAGAAATATAATTGGAAATAGGTTTCCCAATTTTTGAAATGTTCTCCACAATGCATAATTTTGCAACTGCGGAGAAGCTGTGTATTGATGAATTCGTACTTTTATATATTGATTACACTGAGGCACCGAACAACACATCTTGCATCTGATGGTCATTATTACAAACTAAATAAGTCTTCTAACACAATAAACTTCACCAAATTCCTTTCTGTTCGTTAGCAGCGTGATGTAAGCGTGACACGCTGCAAACGCGAATGCCAATTGCGAACAAGAAGAGCAAAATCGAAAACAAATCAGAATTCATCGTATTGTGACGTAAGCATGAGATGTTGTGGTGGGGCAAACAAAGAAAGGGCACAAAAGAACAAAAACAGTACTTTCAATACCCTTCTAAGACCTCTTTGGGAAGTGCATATTACGCCTCAAACAAACATCCTCATGCCTACATTTCTAAAATATCCCAAAACATCCCAGGGATACCTCTCAGTATGCAAACAAAGAAATGCCACAGAAGAACAAAAAAATACTTCAATATCCTTCAAAGACCTCTTTGGTCAGTGCATATTACGTCTCAAAATAACATCTTCATGCCAACATTTTCAAAACATCCCAAAACATCCCAGGGATGTTTGTGCTCGCTGGGGAAACATTGAAACACAACCTCACTTTTCTTATTTGTTTACGAGTGATTGAAATAGTTTTCCAGAATTATTCTGGCATACGAATCGTGTTTTTCGGCTATTCATTAAATCGCGCTTGCCATCACATTTTGCTGTTGAATAATGCACAAAAAATGCAGCGAGAGACGAAGGAATCCGGTTGGTACATTATGATTTGAAAGTAAGTACCTACTATAGTCACTTACATAAAGTTTTCATTTTGAAATTTTTCTGATCGGAACTCCTTTAGCAATAGGAGCTAATAGAAATTCTCGTGAAATTTCTGGAAGAGTGCAAGAAGATTGGATTCATGCAATCAATCGGGAGGACTGGTCTGCCATGCTGACGAAATATGATCGTTTGTGTTGTAAACATTTTCAATCTATTAGCAGTATTAGCTTCTATTGCAGAAGTGGCAGAAAAAATTTTAATAGGAAATGACAAAATTTCATAATGAAAACTATGTGAGATTACTATTTACCTGAAAAATCATATTCCTTCGTCTATTGCTGCATTTTTTGTGCAGTATACAACAGTACAATGTGTAAAACTGAGTTTTAATCTTCTCCTGAAGATGCTAACATGGTTAGCGAAACACGTGTCGAGGCGTTGAAAAATCGGTTTGGTTAGTGGTAAAACAGTGTAGTGTATTGCACTCATGTACAATTTTTCATCGTCTTCTTATTTATGTTTCACTATTTGTGAAGTTTTATCTATTGGAACATTTGTGAATGAACTTACTACATCAAAATCAAAACTAACAAGAGTATCATTTGTATCTTCCGAGTAGAGCTGAGCAACAAGCGCGAATGGAGCACAGAATCCATCGAATCACTGGGAAGGAACACCATTACTTGGTATACGGACGTGTCTAAAACACCCGAGGGAACTGGAGCAGGAGTCTTTGGGCCTCGCACCAAATACTTCGAATCCATGGGACAATTCCCCAGCATTTTTCAAGCGGAAATACACGCCATAGGAAGATGCATCCAGTTCAACCTAGACAGGAAATACCGGAAGAAGAACATCGCGATTTTATCCGATAGCCAAGCAGCCATCAAAGCGTTGAGCTCTCCCTACATCAACTCGAAGATGGTATGGGAATGCCTAAGCAAATTGAATGAGCTAGGCAGCAACAATAAAGTTATCCTCCTCTGGGTGCCAGGGCATATCGGAGTGGAGGGGAATGAACAAGCAGACGCTCTGGCACGACAAGAGGCTTCAACGCCACTGATCGGACCAGAGCCATTCTGCGGCCTTGGAAATT